CAAAACTTAATAATTACGGGAATATTACAAAAGTCAAATGCTTACACCTGTCTCAAAAACTTAGTTTAGTCCTTTTTTTTCCAGAATGCTCTTGCATAATTATAAAATTCAGTTGTATTTACCGTACGTAACATGTTGCATATTTCTACTGTTTATTGTTTAAAAATCAAAAGAACATCACTAAACTATGATAACATATTTGTTACATCATAGTTAACATTTCATTTTCAGTGTTTTAGTATGAATTATGTACTCTGTGTGTATTAAGCACGTTGGTTGATACTACCACAGGTTATTTCTACCAATGTCCCTAAATACACTCTTTACCATAAATAATGACTTGCCACAGGGAGAAGATGTCTAATTTTTATAATTTCTCAAATAATGGAAGCGGACCAGTACAATAACCTGAAATACAAACATGTACCTGTCAGGAGAATCACATGGCAGTCATTCTCTGTGTTGCATTCAGCTGTATTTTTAAAATAAAAAACAATTCCCCTTTAATGTGTCTGCAAATCATTTCCCTACATTACTATTGCTGCCTTAAGGTTTTGACTAAGATGGACTGCTTTTAGAAATGGTGTTCAGAAATGAGAGGGAGATAGAAAGGTAAATGAGAAGCAAAATATTTCAAGTTAGTCTTGCAGTTGCTTGCTGTGGCCACTAGGTGGATGTGATGTAAAATATGAACAAACTGTACAGTAACGTTGTTACAGCAGGAGAACACTGTAGCCAGCAGCCTTATGTTTTAGCTGTGTTTTCATTTAGCTTGGCTTTATTTATCTGTGATCTCCTGTGTCTATTACTCACATACACTGTACAGTGGGTACAATGGGAAATGTTTTGCTTGTTTTTCAATAAATATTTATTTATATATACAGTATTTTTAAATGACTTCAATGCAGTAGTGCAATAGTTTTACATTAAGTATACAGTACAGTGCCCTACATGAATTTTTGTTTTATATTCAAGCAATTTGTATTAGTGATCATGGGATTAATATGAATAATAAGTATGATATACAGTAATGTCCATTGTATTTCTAGATAATTCTACGTGTAGCTTTGATCATATTAGAATTATATATTATATATTAATATATAAGAATATACAGTATTGGGACACATTGACTTTTAAGTGTAAAATTCAGTATTTGGTTACATATCTCTTTGAAGCAATAACTGTATGAAGTCCGTGATTCATTGAGTTATCCAAGCTCTTTGATAAATAATTTCAGATGCTTTGCCAAGACTTTGCTAAAGCAAACTTTGACTTTGAGTTTTTGGCTATTCTTGGGATCTTCTGGCTTCAGTTGTTTGTTCGGGCTGTTAAATACAGTTCATTCCCAGTTGGATTGGTTTATCCAGTCTAACACTATCCACTTATTTCTAATAACGAACATCTCGGCTGCACTGGCTATAGGCTTTGGGCCATTGTCCTGATAACAATGACCTCCAGTAATTTTGGAGGCATTTTCTTTCACAAAAACTGAAGACAAGTTTCTCTAAGATTCATAATTACTTCTGAAGCTGCCATCGTAAGTTAAATCATAAAGACAAGTGAGCCGGTTCCAGCGCCCGTCCATGGCTTCCATTCAGTTTCACTCCAGTTTCAGATTATAGCTTTTGTCCAGATATTGAAAGAAAATTTCCTGCTGGCTCAGGGTTTCTGTCTCCTTGTGCTCTGTTGGACCTTAGTGCTGCCTTTGAGAATTATACAGTGTAAATAATACTGTTGCCAACCAGACTAGAGACGTTTCTGTTTTATGGGTTCTATGGGTTTTAACAGTTCTTTCATAGTTTGAGGTATAGACAACACTTCAAAGCAAATGTGCAATGCTCCTCCTCTACAGTTGGTTATGTCTAGTGCATCCCAGGGCTCTGTTCTTAAATTGTATTCTGATTATATATCAATGACAGCTGAATTTATATTGGTACGAGACCTAGTCTTAATAAAGCAATCTCTCAAGTTATTTTGATGATAGTAAGTCAAAGATAAAGCAATAGTTCACTACTCAGTAATTCTCAATCTTAGCTTATGTGCTTGTGGTACTGAAATGAGTGCAAAATGTCCTGTTAGGAATTTGAGTGCCACATTTGAATCAGTTCTACCATTTGAGGTGCAGTTTTACACTGCTGTTCTTTTTCACCGTAATAGCATTGCCGTTGTCCACTTGTGCCTTTAATAATCTGATGAAGTGATGTGGTTATCAGCATTAGCGTTTTCCAGGCGTGTTAAAATGCCTCGGTTGCTGTTATGTATAATCATCCTTAATTGGATGTACTGTAGTATGTTCACAATTCAGCTGTATAGGTTTTTAGCCAAAGCATATTTCTGTTTTCAGGACCAAGCATCATTCCCCTGTGGAATTCAGAGTAAACTTTAAAATGTTTTTCTAAACTTTAATGCCTTAAATAGAGGGCACATTTTACATGAGCTTTTCTCCAGTTTAAATTATTGTAATTGTAAATTGAATACATTGCAGATTATGTACATATATTATAATTAAAATATTTTGAATCCTGTGTATACAGTAAGTTAAAGGTTAAGTATATTGTAGTAAATACATCCTGTACCCGATTTTACCATTTACAGTTTACAGTAACACTGTAAATCTTTGCTTGACATTAAAAATGTATTTGAAGTTTATAGGAACGTGACTGTGATGTCTATGTTAGAGATGGCTTCTGCATTAATGGCAACACCTGGGAGAAATTAATAAAACCCTGTGGGATATAAAGACACAAAGTCCCAAGGACAATGAAGTTTAAATTTCTAATCCCATTACAAAGAATGCCATTGTGTGTTTGTATAGACTGTGTACATGCATGGATTTGTGTGGGAAAGAGTAGTACACTGTCGTACTGGCTATTGAGGCATAGTAGTTCTTAAAGTGAAAAACTTCTCAGCTGCTGAAAGATGGCCAGCTTAGTGCATTTACTTCCTTGCAGCAGCTTATACAGTGTGTGCAAGTCAAAAAAAGAGTGAGCTTAGAAGAAAGGCTACAGGACATGTTCTGTGGCAGACACGACATGTCTAAATGAACATAAAAGGACTGTTTCATAATGGGAGGACAAAAGGATATCCAGCTGCACTGCTAAATGTCTCATAGGCTCACAGTAGGTCATCGACTGTTTATGGTCTTGGTTCCAAGGCACTGGAAATGTCAGTCATTTATACCATAATAGACATCTAAGATGAACTTCCTGCTGTCTGGATTGACTACTGCTTACCAATGCACGGCATGGCACAGCAGAAAATGCAATACAAATGCTACAACTGCAACAATCCACAGGGGTGTGCATCCCAATGCAACCATAATTATTTGCACCGTGATCCTGAGACTCATGAACCATGCTTGCATTGTGTCTATAACTGACAGTCACTAGCAGGTTCATCTACTGTATATTGAAGTGGGAAAAATAAAGAATGAGTTGTGGTAACTTGCTTACTTGAAATGTTCTCAGTTGTGTTAAAGTTCGTGATGGGGTTCATGCTGGTGTTGTGGTATTATGTGAGTGAATTTAAATCAGCTTCCAAAGAGGATCGACGGTGCACTGTACTATATCTACTGTATGATCTACTGAACTGACCTCTGCATTTGTCATAGACATGTCATATGTTTGTCTCCCTATAACTTTATTAAGATTTTAAAATACTTTGCACTCTTAGGAAACTGTTTTTCTTATTTTTTTCCTCCGTGTATATACCTTACCTTTAGTATTTATATGCTTCCTGCAGTCAGTGAGGAGTTAAAACACCAGCATTATCAGATTTTGTGTCTAATCGCTAAGAACATGTGGAGACCCATTAATGTTAATAGATGTTATGTGTTTCCATAGGTAATTTGTTTAGCAGAGTTGTAATATTCTTAACTGTATAGAACACTTGCCTAAAATCCCAAGTGGCGCTGGATTTTGCCTGCTTAGGTTTCTTGCTTCAGTATTAAGTTCACAAAGCCTGTCTCGACTCTGCATAGTTCCATGTTATTAATCTAATTTCACTGATACAGATACTGCTAAATGTATATGGCATGTTGTAACGGAATACTTCACAAATTACTTATCTGATTAGGGAGATAAGATAACTAGTGTTGAATGAGGCATGATCTTGTACTGCATTTTTCTTTTTACCCTTTTTTCTTTTTTGCTTTCAAACATATTCTTTGAAAGTGTTTTTCTTTTTTGTTTCTGAGCTTTGGTAGTGTTTCACTTTGAGATTCAGATCTCTAACCAGTCGTGGGTCTCATGCTGAACCTGTGCCATTGCTTGAGATCTATCAAAGGCAAAAGCTCCATGAAAATACAGAGCCTGATTATTTGGAATTCCTTCCTTTCATGGAACAAGATCTTTTCTGTATGGTCTGAAAAGAAATGGTTTAGTAATACCTGTGAGTACTATCTGTCTTACATTGTGCTCCAAAAAAAGTAGCAAACAGATGTTTCATCAAGGAAATAAAGTTAAAGTCATAGTAAGTATTCATATGAGTACAGTATGTTATTTCTTCATTGTGAAATACTGAAAAGTGGTATCAACTTCAAAATGTCAGTCAGACTAATTAAACACAAAAAGTATATGTGTGGGAATTAAGGATTATATCTGGCATACTTTATAACACAGGTTAAGAGGTGGAATATCAGAAGAGAGTTTGAACTGACCATTAGGGCACAGTGCCCAGAAGCTACTTTGGTAAGGTGCAATATGAGAACACAAACATGAAACCTGAACAGATGTTTACTTGTTGGAATTATTTGTCACAAATTATTGTCTGAATCCATATTGGAAACAAAGAGCTGCCAAAGCTTAAAGCTATTACAGTGTAAGGCAATAATAGTCATATCGGAAGTGATCTAATATGATTCAGTGCAGATACTTCTCTTAAAGGTCAAATCTTTTTTGCCATACAGAGCTGAACTTTCCGCACTCTAATGGAACCAGTTGCACGCATTAGTGTAATAGGTACCTAATTTGAACTATAATGATCTCTTTTTTTAACAGATCAGAGTGGATGGACCTTCCCATGGTGCCTTGCAGTATGAGACAGTTCAAGTGGTTGAAAATGGTCCAATTTTGCGGGACATGGCCTTTTCAGCAGATCAACACTACCTGTACATCATGTCTGAAAACCAGGTGAGTCATACACTATCTTATAGCAATCACACAAATTACATTTTGTTTTTGAATGGACAAAAATACCAATGCCATTAGAAGGACTATATCAGTTCTAAATGCTATTGTGTGAGGGGTTTGAACCAAAAATAAAGAACCATGTTACAGTTGAAAGAATATACAGCAAATGCTCCAGAAGTCCGCCCATTAGTTGTTTTTATACTGAGCACCTGTTGCAGTAGAGACACAGATACCTAATTGGTTGAAATGGGATCCTTCAAACAGTCTTTGTGTTTGGAACTATTGTGTCAAGAATTCATTTTACCCACTACTTTGTCCCAGTAGTACAATAGTTGTTCATTGTGCAAAGAGATGAGGAGTCTCAGCAACAATGAAATAAAGAAACCAGTTCTAATTAAATCCAGTAATGAAACAGATTTTAATTATTATTCTGTATGTAAGAAATACAGTGGATTAAATGATAGTCACAGTTGATATAAAATGGACATTTACATTACCCTCTACACTAAGCCAACTTTAAATGGTGGATACTTTATTTGTGAAATTAAGTATTTAGGTATAATTCATAAAGCATTTTGTACCTAGCTGCCTGTTAATGTGCCTCTACAGTTACATCCAGTTTCAGTTAAACTGAAAGCTTTTATGTATTCTGTTAGAATCATATTAATTCAGAT